ATTTATATAACTAACAACCATGTCACTACAGTTGAATATTCTTACTGCCATATTTTACTCATAATATAGTTTATATAACACAGTATTTATTTTCGTATCTTAACTTATAATGCGGTAATAAACAGCAGTGTATTCAAAGACAAATTCAAGTAACTTCAATTACCGTCAATTGAGGATAAATTAATTTTTTTAAAGAAATGCTTAACGTTATTATATGTTTCGTATTATGCGTTTGTTACGTAAGCATATGAGTTGTTCATTGTAAATCATTTCTAAAGAGCTTCTGACACGTTTGCATTCTAACGTTCTAAACTGGAAGACCAAGGTAATTTGTGCCCAGATAATGTTTTACCTTAAATCAAATGTAATAATTTTTTTATTTTTGTTTCTTACGTATCACAAATGTATAGAATATTGATATAAAATTCCATCATTTCTTTTCATTGCATATTTCTTTATAAGAGTTACCCCTCGTTGCGTTTAATTCACGCACTGCTCGTCAATTTGTCTTCGGCAATATCGTTGCTTCCTGCGATCGGCATAAAGAGTCCAAGCGAGTAGAACTCTAACCCACATTCTTAAGAATTCATTGGTTAGCTAATTGTATCTTAGCTACCACATCCACGATGTTCTCTCTTGTATGTATATATATTCTCTATTAATATATATTTTTTATTCAAATCTACCTTAACCGCGAATCCCTTCCATCATACACTCCATTCATTCAACTTTTACACTTTTTACATTTATGATAATACTATGAATTACAGATCAAAGAATCGTGGACATAACCGTATTCGTATATGCATAATATTTAGTTTACATTTTTCTTTTATTTTTAGCTATACCAAGCGATAATCCTTTCGAAGACGAATATTTTTAATTAGAATTTATCATTTGTTTTTCATCATCATTGTTCTTCTCGTTACTCTTCCGCAAAATAAACCCGTAATGAAAATCAGACCAATCGCTGTTAACGTAACGATTATGAAGTATCGTCTTGCAGGAGACCGATTTACCGTTGAATATAATTCTCGTATTGAGTTTGGAGCAATTAACTGAAAAATAATTAATATGTATCATAAATTAAAATATTAATATTGAAAATGTTCGGTTACGTCAATGTGCTTTTAAACTCGGTTAGGCTGTGTTCTTTTATTATTCGATAAACTAGTAACATAAAATAAATAAAGTTTATTACTCTACCTTGACCGCATTTCTAAACATTTCTATTCTGGTGGTTAACATTTTATAACAGTCAGGTCGTAAATATTTGTTATTATCTTCTAATACATCCTGAAGACACATGATATCTGTAATATATAATATATAATATTCTCAGTATGTTTAATTATCTCATAAATTGTGAATAGTTTTATTTATTATTCTTATATATCTCGACGTACGTCTTCCTCCTCCTTGAGGAACATCACTGCAATATTTGCTAACATCAATAGCACACGCTTTTTGTAATAAAGGATCTGCATTAATATCTGCTCTTGTTTGTTCTATCAAGTCAGCAATTTCAAGACGGCATTCTTCCTTCATATCCCTATTACCAAGATTGAATTCCATTTTTAGACATTCTTCTACTGCGCCAGGATCGTTTTCATCTGCTCTACAGATTGTTTCAATCTATTCCAAATGAAGGATATGATAACATAAATGTGTTTATAATTTAAGTACTTTAAATATATCAGTTCATATGTTTTGTTAATAATACCTCATGTGCACACATTGTAGCAAGTAATGGATTTAAGTGATAATTTAAAGCTGCTTCCCTGAGAATGTTAGTCATCTGATGTTCACATTTTGTTTGAAGTTTTGCTTCCCGAAACTTTATTTTTAAACATCCAATGACTTTTCCTTCGAGCTCTTTATCAGTCGGTTCATGCAACAAAACCTGGAGAAATTTATTGTATAGATAAGATATATTTACATTTCTTTCAAATGTTCCATGCTTTTATTTAAAAGCTACCTCTTTGCAGTGTTTATTGATATCAGAGGAACACGCAGCTTGTAACGCAGTGTTAAATCTATAATCCGTGTTTTGTTCGATCATTCGTCGAATAACAATGTTTTTGCATTTTTCATCAAAAGTAGGCTCATCTTTATATCTTTTTAAACAATCCAATGCCTGCGAGCGACTTACGTCGTGACAGAATTGTCTTACCATAACACGGCAAGTGTTTAATAAAGCAAAGTCACTTGAGCTATCTTGAAATTCCTGTTTTCTTACTTTAAATAATTGCTTGTGGCATGCATCGGATAATTTTGATTTATGTGCTGCTAAACATTCGAGAATCTAAAATAATAATAATCTTTTCTGATATTAAAGTATTCAAATTTTAACAGAGTGCTTCAATAAACTAAATACGTGAATGCATTACCTGTGAGTTGCCTGCTTCAACATTAAGACAATATTGTTTTATGTCATCTACACATTGTGCTTGTAAAATTGGATCGAAATGGATATTTTCTCTTTGTTGATAAAGTTGTGCTCTTAATTGTTGCCTGCATTCTTTTGGTATGTGATTTTGTGTATCTTTCATTATGTCTTCTTGTACTATGGTGCTTAAACACTCTATTACTTCCGCTTTAGTTTTAGACCTAAGTGGAAAATCAAAATAGAAATTCTTTGTACATAATTTTTCATAATAAATTTAAGAAATTACATAAATAATTACTCACTTTGGACACCATCTTTTAACAGATGGTCTGCAAGCTTCTTTAAATTTATAAGTAAAGTGATAATTTTTTAACGATATTAATTGGAAATGTTCCACTGCTGCTTTGCACTTATAATCAGATCGTATGTCCAAATCATTTTTGTGTTCTATTAAACATTCCATCATATCACCTTCATCTTTGCCATATTTTAATACTTCCTATTTCATGAATTCTTTATCTGATTATTACTAAGAAAAAAATATACATATTACTATTTAAAGTATAATAATATTTATACCTCGCAATGACGTTCCATAATGTGTTGACAAGCTGCAGAAATGATTGGATTCAATTCAACACGTTCAGCTTGTTCTTCTGTAAAATTGCCGACTGCTAACTTGCAATTTTTGTTCAAACTGCAAATAAAATAAAGAAATTGAAGATCAAAGAAAAAAGTATTGCAAATTTTAACTTATTATATGATTAAGGTATGGTTTATTACCTGTCTAAATTATCTTGAAGGCACAATATTTCTTCTCCTTTTGCAGTTTTATCATAGCAATACGATGCTAATTCATTTAGACAAACTTCTTCAATTTCAGGTTGTAAATCGACATTTACAGCTCTTTGTCTCATCACACGTCTAATTTCTTCAATACACTCTGTTCGTAACTAAGACGATAAACACTTTAAATTTCATTTCAAGTTTATAAATAGACATATTACTTACCGTCAAATTTTTTTGAGGATGGTATACATGTCTATATAAACATGGTAAGACAAGAGGTCCTCGTTCCGGATCCATTTGTCTTCCATCACTAGCCCATGCATTTCTTGCATGACATAATCGTGTTGCATCAAATTTACATGCTCTGTACAATTGCGGATCTAATTTAAAATCTCGAGCTACAAAATATTGTATTTGAACTAAAGCAGTTTCACAAGCTTCTGTCATTCTATTTGTACCAAGTTGTTCCATTAGACAAGATATTACTCTAGCGTCGCCTCCACGTATCTACATATCAATAAGATTGCACACATTATTAATTTAATAGTATTAACTTAATTTATAATTTTAATACTTAATAATTGCATGATTCTTACATCTCTGCATGCTGAATTGACAACAGGTTGACATTGTTCTCGTAGAACAGGATCGATTCTCCAGTCTTCTCCAGCATCTGTTTCCTTAATTAAATCTTCTAACTATTGATAACAGAAAATATAGTTAATTATTATATATTTACATGTACTTTATTTCATGTATATGAAAAATTTATTACCGCTCTTTGGCACTTGGTAGATACCCTCGACTTCTTTCTTCTGGGTCTAGTATGTTCCATTAAGCAGTGAATCGTTGTACCACCAACTTCAAGACTGTTACAAAATGTTGTAATATCATTGGCACATCCATCGACTATTTCTGGGGACAATCTATAATCCTCCATTAACAATTTTCTATGATCAAACATTTCAGCCTGGCAATTACCATCGATTTTGCTACCATTTTTTGCTGCCGATTCCAAACAAAGAAGAATTTGTGCGAGTCTTATATTTTTATCTTCAAAAGACCTCCTACAGTGATTACTTCGTATATCTTCTTTACAAGCTTTAACTAGCCCTTTACTAATTCGATAATCAGATGCTATTAATTTTCCTCTTCTTGCAAGTTGTTCTTGACATGTTGCTGTCATGGATCTATCTGTTTTATGTTGCATCAAACATTTATATACTTGACCACTACCTGGCCTAATGTTTGGGCACAATTTTATACGATCCTGCTCACAAGCCATGTATAATTGTCGGTCTAACTCTACATTTTCTGCTTGTATTTCAGATACATGAAGTATATGTCGTTTACACTGAACTTGAAGATCATTAACATGTTCTTGTAAACAAGCTAATACTTGTCCCTGGGATATATCACGATATGGCTGTACTTTATCGCAATTAAATTTTGTAATATCATATTTACAGTCGGAAGAGAATGGAGTTATAATCCTGAAATCGCTAAATGCAATCCATTCTAATCGTAGAATATATGCGATGCATTTAGGATCCTTTACTTTTTCTCTTTTATCAATTAAACAAGATAAGTATGCACCATGCTTGTTATCAGATGTAGAGCAGTTCAGATCATCTAATTCTTTACCACAAGTTTTCTTAGCTAATCGTTCTATGTTTAAATTATCAGTAATATTTAAGATATATGCCCAAATTGCTTGACGACATTCATCATCAATGCTAGATACTTCAGTCGGCTAGAAAGTAAATAGAATGGTAAGTAAATTGAAGTATGATTAACAATTATATTTTGCGTATTCTAAAATATATTTTTTATTTAAAATGTTATTTTTAATATATGTGATAAATTAGATATCATACCTTGAAAGTTTGAATGCATTCTAACAACGTTAATTCGTCATTATTTATATTTACTTCATTGCATAGTTGACTCAAATTCTGCCGACATTTAGGAGGTAAATAAGAACTGAGCACACTTGCTCTCTTAACCCTAATGGCATTGTCAACAGAATTACTGAATACCCAGCTTATACTTGGAATAACGTCACCGTTGTTCGCAGATACATCTTTAAAAGAAGTCCTTGCTACATGAGCACAGTTTAGCATCGATAAGTGTATACAAATCACAAATAAAATGCTTTTTAAATTAGTCATATATTCCATCCTCACGAAGTAGAACCGTTTCTTCAATTAAAATTTATTATCCACAAACACATTACGGTATAGACGTATTTTTCTGCAACGTTCGTCTTTTTTTTGTACCTTTTTTTATTTCTTGTTATTCACTTTATAATGTCAACGTCAGAAATAATAGCACACTTGCGTGTAATCGTATGAAACCGAACTTTGCGCGGACAGATCGTCGTACATGTGCATGTATTACCCAATATTTTACCACCATATATTTAATTTTCAAATGCTTCCGCAAGTCAAAGTTTTAAGTAAAATTAATTCATCTGATAAAGAGATTTGTATATGAGATTTATTGTGTGTATTCCACACACAAAAATAGATTAATAAATTATACTATAAAAATATGATGTTATCCGGAAAATAGAATCTTCACTTAATATGAAATGTAGAAACGTTATCAATGAAGGAAACTTGTTTTGTTGGAAAGTCTAATTAAAAAATATTCATATGAGTTTAATCTGTATTTATATCCGCGCCAGTACATAAAGTGAAAAGAGGTTATTAGTTTTGCGATATTTGCCGTTTATCACGTAGTGGAAATGCTCCTTGTGGAGTCTACGAGTACTCAATGTTGGTACGCCTGGTAAATGGGTATGTATTTCTATCCCGTCGTCTGCATTAAAGGGCAAGTGACAGCTCAAGCTATATTGTTGACATTCGTATGAAAATTACGCTGCCGCGTCATACTTACGAGAAAATAATTTTCGTAATAATACAGCTAAAATATAAGTGAACGTTTTCTGTAATGTAAATGATTTAACCGGGTAATTTTCGTGTATTGGACAAGTAAGAAGAAAATTTAGGATCAAAATGATAATCGGTGTTTGAGTGGAAGTATAGCGACATCGAGTTTAATAGATTTTAAACAGTTAGTGATTACACTTGTGTGGTATCTATAAACATTCCTAATTTTTATGAAAATATCGACCAGCGTCGTTTACGAATTCAACGATGATTGTTCACTGGAAATTCTTGTTCAAGCACCGTCGTAAATGCTCTCGGCAATAGTAGTACGTTCCGAACAGTGAAGATAAAGTGCGTGTGTAAAAGTGAATCAATCCGTATGGCATTACGCGCAGTACTTACGGTGTCGCTTTCTGAGGGAAAACAATAATTTCTGAAATTAAATCTGGTAGATTCTTATAATGATCTTTATTTATTTCAAGATTAACGTAGAAAGTAAGTTTCACATTAAATTATACTTTATTCTGTAAATATAATTCTGACGCTGTTCCGTTAATATTATATCTTCTGTTCATTCAATGGTTTTTTGATTTTCTACATCCAAAGAAACGTGATATAATATTGGTTCGCAATTACGTGATATTATACACGTAAATGTGACACATTATGAACTTCATTAATAAAAGTAAAATTTAACTAATTCATTTTAAAGAAGAATCATTTCTTCTTTGATTTGTGGTTAATTTCAAAATTCGTATAGACGTTCAAGAAATCTTATAACAATAAAATTCAATGTATAGAAAATTCACGATTAGTCAATATTCGTGTAGCGCAAAAACGCTCGAGCGACATTAAAATCCCGAGGTCCTTTTGAAATCGTTGTTCCATGTTAATAATGTTTCTAATTCAAAAGAAAAAGAGCGATGCGGAACGGTATTCTGTTGCACGGTTTTTCTTTCGCGCCATTAACAAAGTTGACATTTTAAGAAGCCACGCCACCTTCACAATTTCGTACGGAAAACACCTAGTAACTAATACGTCACGCGCATTAACTATCCCTGACATTTTCGGGTTTATTTATAACGTTACTAATAAGGGTGTCAGTGGGATTTCCGTCGTGCGTAGGGTATGGAAAACAGTGAGGAAGGGAGGGAGGGAATCCTAGATTTAAAGGAATGAAATCTTCCAATTGTTTCCATGGAATTAGAGATTCGTCGCAGCGGTGGTCCATCGTCCGTGACGTTCAATCGTGTTGTCCCGAAAGATTGAAACTTGCTGGAGGATCGATCGTGGTCATAAGTGCGCGATAATAGAGATGATTTGAAATTGGTGAAATCTTAACCGGAGTGACCAAACGGACAACGGAAAAAGAGGTTTCGGCATGATCTGTGGCGGTAGTAAGGACTCGTTGGAATCATCGGGTGGGGAGGAGGAGGCATGGAAGCTGAAGCTGGTCGGCAGTCTCACCATCAGGGGCTGCAGCTTACCCTGCCATCCCCGGGAATCCCCGGTTTGGACGTCGTGAGAGCGTTGCATCAGGTTTGACTCGTTAATACCTTTACTACCACTTTTTTTTTGTGGTGACGACTCATCAAAAATCCTGCAACATTTTTAACTCTTGTATGTGTACCGTTTAACACGGTTCAAGTCAGAAGTAAATTTGGAGTGATATTTTTGTTGGGGGAATTTGTAAATTAATTTAATATTGAAATCATACTGATAAACTAACTAGGTTCAGGTACATTTTATTTCTTAATTTAACGATGACTTTAATTTAGTTTAACCAGTATTAATGCAACGATTGCTTAAATAGTAAGCGAAGTTTAATGTGATATATCACTCTGATTCGTTCATTATCAATAAATTTAATAAAATATATGTACATTAGTCACAACTGTTATCAAAGTTTTCAGTATAATGCTGTGGTTATTATTACGTATTGAAACTTTTACTGCCGAGAATAAAAGTGTTTACAAATTATATAATACATTAATATTTTTTTTGTGATTTAACTTTATCATGCAGTTGCGTTTGATTCGTATTTTCATTAATCATTTTTCTTTTATCAATCTTTTCTATTATCATGCTAATGGCTTTCGCCATCGTGATCGCAGTTATTTTTAGTGAAGGAGCAAAAATTAAATTACTGGAGCAAACAATGTTAACGACACTTCGTTCAATTTTGCCGCGCGAGCAATTAATTGGATGATGGGGAAAAGGGGAGCAGGTGGTTTGCACACTTCGAATCATCGATTTTATCTCCATCGATGGCATTCATTTTCGTTCACTCTCTTTACTGTACTGATTCCATGACCTTGAGTTTTCAAAAATCTACTAGATTAATCCTAACGTGTTCTATTCAGGCCAATTAGATTCAAAATTAAAATTTCATAGGTTATGATTAGAAATATTTTGATCCGCAATCAGGTGTAATTTTGATTTGATTTAATTTTAGGAATATTAATAAAAATATTCGTTATTAAACAATGTTAAACTTGCATCAAAAGTTTATTACATTTTAAAAGAAAGTAATTAAGATATCAATTATAATTACGGTTAAAGCTTAAATATTTAATTCTTATTTTTTTACATAAGTATGTACATGTACAATACTTTTTTCAATCCTTTGCCGTGTTATTATTATCTTTCTTTTAAATAAAAGTCTTGTCATACTGTTTGTGGGTAGTAGGGTGTGAAATGACTGACTAGTTTTAACGAAAACTCTTATTTATTACTCAACACTTATAAAATACGCGGAAAGACTTCCGTCTGACCTAGCGCCAGAACGAATGGACGTGAATTGGGATGTGGCTATCACGGCGGCTTCCATTTAACGTCGCTTCACCCCCACATCCTTGTCCGCAGACAAAGATATGGGGCACATGGAAATTCCCATGATTCCGTTCGGAAAAGGAAGGTTTTCCCCCACGTGCGGAGCTAGGTAGTTTGTTTGTTTCATCGCCCGTTTTAGGGCTCGACAATTTAACGCACTCGCACGGGTCTGCAACACTGATGTTTGCTTACCCGTGCTACCTGGGCTAGAGCATCCGCACGGCAAGAAAACCTTTCTTGTGTTCCGTTATGCCGCCACACTGTTATTATAAGTATCATAATTGTTAACATAATGATTACACAAATTTCTAATTATTCTAATACATCTGTTTATATAGAGAATTATTTTATCTTTATTTTAATTTCAATTATTTCCTTCAATTTTAAATATTTATTACTTGTGTATTATTTGTACTATTTATTTTTACGTTATATTGTCTCTTTTTTTAGACAAGCTTCTGGATTGTAACTTTGGATATAAGTTTACTTCTTTTAGAATTACAGAGTATTATTAATTTGATTTTTTAATATTTTAAAAACATGAAATAAAAAATGCGTAATCCCGTTTAAAAGGTATAAGATAACTTTAGTTTTTAATAAAAGAAGATATCAATGAATTTTAATTTAAAATATTTTTCTGTTAAGGTATGATAGTCACCTCGCATATCACAACGGCCTGTTCTCGACTCATTCTGTATAGAGAGTTCGTTTTCTTCATATAACTACAGGGAGAAGCTTTCACATTTCGGGACAGTTTGATCCTTGGGGATATAATTTTAACTGGTCGTTATACATTGTTCCTCAGTTCTAATAATCCAAATAAGAGAAAGGCGAATTTAAAGCTGCCGTTTAAGACGCACACTGAGGTCCTGAAGATTAATTATTAACTCTTTGCCTTATAATATTGTGATTAATAAATATTTAATTTCTTCATTCACTTCATTTCAGTTCAAATGGAACATTACTTTTCTTGCCATTAATTTGTACGATTTAGGTAAATTTTGACATAGAAAGAAAATGGAATATTTTATTTTTCTAATGAATTATTAATGGTTAGTAGTGAACAATTTAGTAACAATGACTCTAATCGAATAATTGCTTTGATCACAAATTATTTTTCCTGGCCGTCAGTATGGATTATTTACTTTGAAAGTGGTGTAAGTCCATTTTTAAAAGAATTGAGTAAATGATTAACTTCTTTACTAAAAGGAAATTTTATTGCTAAATGAAATTCTATAGACTTTTATTTCGAAAATGGTGTAACTTCATCTACAAACTTAAAAGTCTAACTAAACATATTAAGGACTTTCAACTGAAACAAAAATTATATTTTAATTATTGGTCTTCTCCGTAGATTCCGGATTTCAATGCATTTATGGGAAATTTGGGAATATAAAGTTTCACAAAATTCGTATGATATGAAAAAATATATAAAATATTCAAAGCGTAATGCTCTATCTTAATTCTCTTTTGCCGATTATGCTCTTAAAAATGTAAATTTGCCTAAAGATTCGCAGTCTAGTAATCAGATTACATTTTACGTAACTCGTCTTCGTATGCGCTCGCGACTATAAGTCATCGTACTACTTACATCGGTAGACAGGTATTAGACAGTTAAGGGTTAAGATTAATTACGCAAATTAGTCAATGCGCGTGTAGGTTTACGGTTACCGACGTGACTCATTAAATGTATTGTATCTCTTCGATCAACCAAGGTGTTGACATGATCCTTTCACTCAATTATCTCTTTGCCGTGCATCGTCTAACGTTGAATTAGCTTTATCACGATGTTGTCACGTTCTTTTCCAGACTGTGATATCGCTGCGCTCCGCGCTGGACTCCTCGCGGGAAGAGCTACGCCGTCTTAAGGAGAGCGTCGGTGATTTTTCTGGCGAGAGCTACGTTGACGTCGTTGAGAGGCTCGCTCTTGAGAATCACGTCCTTAGGCGGAAGATCCTAAGCAGGAACAGTGAGTTTTCTAGTGATGCTGCCACAAGCCCGCCGCCCCAGGCTCCTCTTTTACCACTCGCAGTAGAGGACATCAAAATGTGAGTCTCGAAACGAGTCTCCGTGAGCAATTAAACAGCTTGTCCGTGGATTTCGTTTGTCCCTTGTGACGCATCATTTCCATGTCTCTGATGGTTCTGGAAATCTTTTAATCTACGATGGGAGACGATTCTTTTCGTTTAACTCTGCTACGGCCCTCACTGTTATCTACATATTTGAAACATTATTAACAAATTCAAAATACGTGCACTAGTAATGATTTCCCTGTAGGGTAGACCGAGGCGAATCGGATAATTTCCTATGTGAATGTAATAAAATTAAAACATTGGAACCTTAATAATTAAGAATGAAAAAGAATTTTTAAATCTTCTTGCAAACAAGGAACTAAAAGTATAATCTCTAGTATAACAAATATAAATCGGATTTTTATTTCGTTCCGATTCATCCTCTGGTGCAATTAGCTTGAAGGGAAAACGCTACTGAAGGGAAAATAATTAAACGAATGGAATAACAATAAAAATATAAATGTAGCAGGGTTAACCATTAATTTCATAAACGTAGAATTACTGTAAACTAGAACTGCATCCTGCATTATATAAGATAAATCTACGTTAAGATAAGTCTACGTTCATAATAACATCCACAATTTAGTTAATATATAATATTTCCGTATTTGTTAGTTTATCCGAGATTTTCACTTCAAGCTATCAAATCAGTTTTTGGTATTGCTAGAATTCTTCGTATTCACACCAACGCTAGAACTACTGGACAAATAAATTGAGTAGCTCGTAATTCTTCTGCAAATTACAACACTACATTTAATGGATAATTTCTTTCTTACAATTCCTCGCGAAAGCAACTAAAAATTTTCAGCAATTCTAAAAGAAGAAAACCAGAGTGGGTAATTACAACCTATCCGGTAGTTCTATCGTTAAACCGGTCCACAAAAAAACAACACTTCCATGGAAAAGTTAGTCGTTGCGAAGGAGTGGAGATACGCCAGAAAAGCCGGCAACTCACAGTAAATTCTGCAATGACACACACGCATAAATGCCCGCCGACGTTTGTTCATAATTCGCTACCCACGGCTACACACAGTTCGATGACAAAGCGCTTCATAGCGTCGCGTTAATTAAAAGGAACGCGACCGTTCCCAATGCACCTATTAATAACCACGTGTAGCGTGTATAACACGCGGCTACATTCCTGCTGTAATTCTCACCCTGCAAACGGTATCAGTCTGCCAGAGGAAGCAGGCGTACCCATGGACACGTCTAGAGACAAAGTCGTCGCGGACGACTTGCCGGAGTCATCGCAGTCGACCCGGAAAGCGTCCAAGGATCAGGGAGAATCGTCTTTCGGGGATGCTAAGTGTGCAATGCCAAGGGACAACAGGGATACCGTTGTTCAGGTTCGAACACGGGTATCCGAGGTCGGCTCGGATGAAAAGGCTGCTGCGAGTGCGGGCTCGGTTCCCGTGTTGATCGATAAACAATCTAAGAGCGCCGAGGAAGAGGACGCGATTGAGGCGCAAAGTGACCGTTTGGAAGTGCCCGATAAAGATCTCGAGGATCTGAGCTTGAAGTCGGTCTCGGACGGTGACAACTCGGTGTTCAGCGACAACCCGGATACCCAGATGACACAGCAACAGCAGCGACAGAACCAGCCGACCGATCAGTCGAAGACCAATGATCAGTCGGAAAACGAGTCCGAGGAACTCGACGACATCGAGCTGATATTCACAACGGACGAAACCTGCCGTGATCTTGGTTTGCAGGAAGACCTCGTCTCGATCACGGAGACGGAGTCTTGGCAACAACCGGCCGCCGTTGGACAACCTGTTCTCCTGAAATACGCTAAGTCCGCTGAGGGAGAGTCTTTGGTCTGCAATGGCGAGAAGACCAGCTCTGTCGAGGAAGCTGTTTCCTCGCAGAGCTCCAGTATTGACCGCGAGGAAAGTGTCGATAGATTCGACGAGAGCTCCAACACCAGGTTGAATAAAATGTGGTCGCAGTGTTCGGTGCTGGTCGAGACTGACATTAGCAAGTGCGGCGTGGTCGAGGAACCCGAACAACCTACCAGACACGCGGTCAGGAGGAACACGCTGGCTGCGCCGCCCACAGCTTACAGGTAACGAACGCATTTTACTACTAAACGATAGAGCGTATTGATTTTTCTTTTACATTTACGTTACACGCGCTCGAACTCTCTGCTTGAGCGTTGAACATGATTGTTACGGTGCAGTGTTGCAAACAGTGCGATGAAAGATAGATAACTTGTGCAACGTTGTCTTTTGCTTTCCATCGACGCGGTATTATTGTTAAAGGTTTGTTTTCCGGAAGCTTAGACTCGATGTACAGTGTCCGATTTAAATGGTAACTTACAGTGGTTCTCCATTGTGCTACAGAGAATTCGAATTTGTGACATTTCAATGGTCCTAGTGGGGTGGACTGTTGGTAGGCATCACTGTTGGGGTATCGTAGGTTTCAGTTTTAGCAAAAGATTGAGATATCACTGTATATCAGTGGAGTTAAAAGTTAATTATTGGTTACATTGCGAAAACTTTAATTGTTTATGAACATGCATTATAAATATTAATGTGCTTTCTCTTTTTATGACAACAAGTAACAGAAGAAATTGCGTTGTACATTGGAGTCATTTGAATAAATAGTTGCAGTTAAAAAGGGTTTTGTAGAATTTTGGTGTTTGTTAGTTCAATCAAATTAAAAATTATTGTATCAAAGATTATTCCATCAAATAATGTGGTAATCTTTAGAAATAGGTATATGTAATTTTCGATATTTTTCATTTATTCTTGAAAGTGTTAAGGTTGTCATATCTTTCAGTTTTTATTTCTTTTTCTATATTTTTTGAAGAAACATAGTCGGAGGAAATGATTTTACATTTAACCTCAACAGAAAAGTTCACAATGTCTTTTGCAGTCCTTGAAATAATAAATGGTAATAACTGTTGTCTCGTTACTCGATAGAAAATTCTCACGATAGTACACGCATGAAAACGGTTTAATTAGTTGCTCGGCGCTTAATAGCAATGAAACGTTTTCATTCGTTTCCAACTCCCTTTTTAGTATGCTCCAACTCGCCAGATGTGAACAGTCTTCATGAGCGACGTATACGTAAATGAGGCGACACTTTAATCACGTTTCCTGTCCATTAGTGCATACTCATATCCGTATTCACAGTTACATCGCAAGCTGTACAATTTTTGTTGCAGCAACCGTACTGAATATAATTGACCTTCTATATAAGTTAAACGTGTTGTCTAATGAAATACTTTTTGCTTCCCTTCTTTCTAAATTGAAACAGTTTTAACAAATCATGCGTATACCTAATTACCATAAATAATCTCTAGGACGCTTTTTATTTACTCGGACACTTTTTTAGCTTGTATTCACAATTTCGAGATTAGACAGAAACATACCACTTTTTATCGTTAAGTTAAATAGATATACCATTCCTTGATCATGAATATTGATTTCTTAAAATTATCAGGTTTTTCTTTTATGAAACATCTCTGTTTTTTTTGTTTGTTTTTCTTTGTGAACGTAGTTTTACTATGCTAACTAGAAATAACTCTCGTGCGAGCCACGCATAACGATATTTTGTAATTTATTGAGGAATGTATCATGTTTTGTAAAAACACGTTGCCTTTTTATTAGTATGTCTAATATTATCGTTTAATTAACGTAACAGATTCGATGAATAAAGTTATATTGTAAGGAACTATATTTTTATATCATTAATTATCGGCGATTCGCTAATTTCAAGTTTATCGATTATATTTTTGTGTCTATTTATTAACAAGTCCTTTGAAATAAGTGATTTTAGATCTTCTGAGATGGAATACTCAGCGCATCTCGTTTAAATTAAATATCTACATAATTTCTGGTGTTATTGAAAGCAAGAAAGAATGACTAATGTAAAATGAATCTGTATAGTTTCAGATTTCAGATTCATTTTTAAGTTATTAATGATTAAAATCTGTTACTGTTTATCGCAGTAAAATCAGATCCCTGTTTTTCTTTGCTACGATCCTCAATTCAGCTATACATTTGAAGTGATGTTGTGGAATAATCAATATGAATATCGGTAACAATTTTTTTATACATTCTTCAAATTGAAAGAGCATTTTAAAGAGATGAGGGCATGGCGGGCTCAAGAAGGATTAAACAATTGTAATAATGTTAAAGAAATGAAAATATAATCGTGTTAAAGGAAGTTCGAAGAATGTAGCAAGATTAGGAATAACACTGTACACACTCCCATTTACTTACTGAAGTTCTTTATTCACACCACCATTATACAATATTTTTATTCCCGCTTTACATTGTATACTGCAATGGAAAATCAGCTCTTAAATTTTCGACCACCTGTTGCAGAACACATATTCGAAGTGGTGTAGGTACATTAAAGCTGTGATACATGGGATATTTAGAAACTTGGGAAAACAAGTATTACCTGCCTATTCAGATACTTACGAAATATTGAGTAAACCAGATTTGAGAATTTCCATTTGGAAATTGATCTACTATGATTTTGTATGATATCATTATGATATTATGAGCAAATAACAAAAATTGTATCATATACAAGTACCTTTTCAGAGCCTCTTAAGTATTCTTGAATAAATAATTAGCCATATTAAGCTATTATTGAATTAAATAATGTCGATATAGGCCTCAGAGTGAAAGTCCAAGAACACTTCAGAAAATAAAGGGTTAAGCTTGAGTCATCGCTGTAACTTTTGAGGCTCTAGGCTCAAAACTCATTTTTAGTTAACACTATGGGGCGAATTCTTTTTTATGATTACGAAAAGTTTTATGTAGTACGAAGTTGATAAATATCAACCTGTGTTCAGAAATTAGCAATGTACTCAATAGTTTTAATAATTTCATTAAAACGAATATATTTTGTGACTTTAAAGTTACAAAGACGTTGGACGTTTACGCCTGTGCGTATAAAAGTTTAAATTAATTAATTACTTAATTTCATTCGCTATCTTACGGTAAAAAATTAAGTAAATCAACGAGATGCCAATATATTGGTGTATGACTTCAAAGTCATACAGGTCTGTAGGGCAACGGTATTCAACCTTTTAGCTTCCGCAGTCCTCATTGAAAGAAGATGGGTTATTATGGGTCACACATAAATTAATAGCATGTTTAACTAATATTTGTAGTATTCTTAATAGACCAGGGATTGAAAACTTATTTCGATTCTTCATAATTGTCTCAAGAAGCGAAGTCAACATCATAACTGTTATTGTTATGAAGAATCGGAAGCGAAACCGATATACCGAATAACAGTTACGACTTATTTTAGTTCTTTATAACTGTTTCAGTCAGAATCGATATAACAATTTCAAATAATTATTTTCGTAACCTTTTCAATCCCTGGTTTGTTCAGGCCGATCATCCATCGAGAAGCTCTGGCGAGCAGTCGCCGAAAGAGTGCCGCGCCGTTGAGACCGGTGATGGACAGGATCAGTGGCGCGAGACGTGAATCTGGTGCTCAAACGGACATCTCCGCACTTCCGGCCCATTGGCGTTCGGAAAGCTACCTCGCGCACAAAGTGGCACATACGTTTACCACATTGCCAAGCAAATTCGCCTTGCCGACGGGTGTACCTGGAAGACTGCGACTTTCCGACAAGACCCGGGAGGCTAGACGAGTGATGCTCTCGGATATCAGCTTCACCAGCATGGTACCGGAGCTGTCCAGAAGCGCCGATCACCTCTGCCACGATCCACACGCACAGGTAGGGTTTGATCTGGATTCAGAGTTGTCCTATACGTTTTCATGAGCATGAAGGTTTAGGTGCTTTCCGGCTGAGAAGTGTTGGCGGTTATTCTTCGTGGCGAGAAGTTAGGGAGGCAACGGGACTCTTGCAGTCACGATGTTTTGGCCACCTTAGTTTTCGACGTATAATCAGATTGATCCGCAGCAATAACAAAGGATAGAAGCGGGACAGAATGCGATGGTGTAAGACGGAACTGTAGAGAATTCTGTTTTCTATCGTCACGTTTCACTCTGTCGCATTTGGTCTCGCTTCTGTTTTTTGTTATTGCCGCGCGCCAGTAATGACCATACTCGAAAGTCGAGGTCTCACAACTACATAAATTTTGAAATTTCTAATTACTGATAGCGAGGATTGCAATTCAACCTAAAATATTTGGGATATTTTTTATTTTGGTAACTGACTATTAGGGGTGCACGGTAAAAAGACGGACAATCGGTATATCAAGGGAAACGTAGAATCAGCCAGGCAGCGCGGATATTGCAGACAGTTTGCAAACTATTTCCATACATACATGTATTGTTCGGTGATTGTGTTGTGTGCTCCATACTATGTGTTTCCGTATCTTGACTGATATTTTAGTGTCCCTAGCCATGTTGTTCGCGACGAGATTGCTGTCACTGTTTGTATAAAATACGTATATATATCTGGCTTTATGAAAAAGAAGTAAAAGAAAAGTGTTAAATATTTCCATATATGTACATTTTTCGATTTTAAGAATTAAATTTCAATTGCAGCTCCAATATCAGTTATTTAGTAAAAATGGCGAGGAATAATTTCGAAATTTTTTTATTAAAGTTTACAGTTTCTTGGCTTACAAACTGTGTGCATATTCTCTATACAACTATTTACGTATCTGTGATCGTTGTAAGTGCGTACAAGCCTTCTATCGGCTTGGAAACAGATTTTGCAGAAGATTGATGGTTTCTTTGGCAACGTGCACTCAGTGGTTATCTTTCAGAGCCTTTACTTCTTGGGTAACAAAAAACAATTGACGTAGCAGTCTGGCAAAAACATTTGCAATATCTTCAAATTGCTTAGTTATTTTTGCCACGTTCTGTGCTTGGTTTTTTAATTTCTTTCATGCTTTATAGCTGCATCAAATAATAATTTGCAATAAAGATTTGACGTTTCGTAACATTTTAGTGTTTTTCGTGCTGACACGATGAACAAAATAAAACATCGAAGTATATAGTAAGATTCTACTGAAATATACATGTTTTATTCGTAAAACTAAATCTTTGTACTGAAATGCAACACATAGAGATACATAGCCATTTCTGTTCTCTCCTTCGAGAAAGACACTGTCACAATCAATTTCATAATGGAAAGTTTACGCGAAGCCATTTAATTGATTTGTACATATTATGTAAGAGATAATTGAAACACGAACAAGACGAAATTTTTGTATTATACAGCAAGCGTGCATAATTTTCAATGCGATAAAGACTCCTACCAGCATAAAATTAAAGAAAGAAACATGAATGAAACATTATTAGTCATGATTGAACATTACTAAACATGAATGAATTAAAAGATTTCAGTTAACTTCAAACTTTAGTATGTGTTATTTGATTAAATTCAATTGTATTAAATTCAATCCGTTTTCAAGTATCTATGTAGTAATTATAAGTAATAAAAACAGCAAGTTGTGAACAGACGCGTTTAACCAATTTTTATTCAGTATCACACATAGACAACGAATTCTCTTATTTGTACATGTAAAATAATTTCCTGCCAGGTGTTACTTACCGTCTGTCTTGACACACCTTGCATGTATCGTGAAAAGGAACGTATTTCCTGTTGAAATAGAATGTTTATCGTGTACATACATAAATTGTATTTTTAATTTCTTTTCCCCGGGTCTCGATTATTTGACGAGTCCCGATCCAACCGAGCTGCCTGTCCAACAATTAAGTCCGCTAATCGAGGCCTTGCTGTAGTAAAATTAACCTCTTCTATTCGAGCTTTTCCTCGATCTTACAACTTGGAGATCCATGTTTTAACCAGTTAACTGCGTTCAACGACTATACACGTAATCTTAAAATCAAAATGATACTAATCCTTTCAATGATAAATTATTTATTTTTTCAGATGAATATGTAATTCTTCTTCATTTTGCTTTAGCTTTTTTTAGAATATATTATAGGTGTATTTGGCCTACATTAAACAAGAATACACTTCATTATTTGATTTCATTGCGAGCATTATCAGAAATTTCTGAAATAAAATTCCACAGTTAACAGGTTAATATGCACTTATATGAACATAACACTCCATTTATGGAACTTGTTGATTTGTCGGATATTAAATTTTAGAAATACAATGAACATTTGATAATTGCAACACTCAACGGGACCGAAAGATTGCAATTATGAGAGGAGAATCGAATCCACCCCAAAAAACAAAGATTTTAGCATGGTAAACGTAATTTTCTACGATAAGGACAACGCGAGTGAAGGAAAAAGAAAGACTCGAAGCGTTTGACAATATTAAAGATATAATTAAAAAATATTAACTCTTTTATTTTGGACTTTTGGCGAATGAAACTTTCACTGTCATGTTTGTTATGTTTTTCTGATTAAAATGATACTAAACATGATAAAATTACGATTATAATTACTTGTATAATAAACGATTGAAGTTTCGGATATAGAAAAGGCCTGCGAATAGAAAAGAAAGAGACGTTGAAATCGTCGAGTTCGACAATGGTCGGATCATGTTACACCCTTCAACCGCGGTCGGTTGTCGAGCACTATAGCGTGTTAAAAAGAACCTTGTGGGGATGTAGTGAGGATGACGATGTTGCTATTATCCAATGTTCACTGTATTATTTAGTAAAAGTTCGAGTCGATTTTGATTGATGTAATTATGGGAATATTTAATTCTCTGTTTTCCAAGCTGTACTTTCCGAGATTCATATAGACGAATATGTATTCTTTTAGATACAATACAATGAAGTGTATAATTAACGTCTGCAAATTTGAATTAAAGATGACATTCAAAAGTTACGAAGATGAAACTAAAATTTAATCTTCCGAAACGAAAATTCGATATTCGATATCATTATCCGAAATTTAATATTAAACTTATAAGATAATGACTAGATAGCGGATTTCATGTAGGTGTAATATTTATAAGAGATATGAATGTACACCTAGAATTCAGAGCAGAGAAATATTTTGCAGAATTTGAATTGAATTTGAGAATGCTGTTACTTTATTTTTAATTTCTTAAAATTCTTAAGAAGAAAAATCACTTATTATATAGTCTTTGTTTTTTCAAATTGTTTCGTTGAATATTAATTTTATATTCACTGTATTAATTCACTGTCTAATAATAATACATGGAATATAATTGTTGTATTCCTTGATTCGTGTATTTTTCCTTGTGTTAACTGTAAAAGTGTTAGAAACGAATCAAAATGACGAATGAACGTACTAAAAAACCTTTCAAGTACAAACGGTTAAGTGTCAATTAAGATAATCAACTTTCATTTTAATAATAGACGTTTATGTGAAATCGAGGGTCTCTGAGAACATTGTAAAATTCTTAATCGGAAGGAGTACTGTCCTGAAATCTTTCAACGGTACGACTTCCAATCTGGGTTATCGATTCAATTAATTTAACCCTTTGCACTCGAAAGTTTTTCATTAGAAATATTCAGTATTTTCTGATGAGATATAGACGATACTTTCTGAAACTAACTTGAAGAATAATCACACGTAAATTAAGAAATGAAGCTATTTTATTTCAATATTTTATGTACCGATGCACTATACAAAATTTAATATTAACCAGTCAACAGCATTCGACGAATATACACATCTTAAAATTCAAAATGATACTAATTCTTTCAACGAAGAATTATTTGTTTTTTCAAATAAACATATAATTTGTTTTTGTTTTGATTTAGTTTTTCATTAGAATATATTATAGGTGCATTTGCCTTGCATTTGATGAGTATGCACTTAATTATTTGATTCTATTGTACACACAATAGGAGATTTTGAAACTAAATTTCACAGTTAACAGATAAATATTAAACTTTATAATTTTACGGTATCAGATCAAGTGACGATTGAAATTGACCTCTCGAGTGTAAAGGGTTAATACCCGTAACACTAGAACTATCAAATTGAAAGTCACCCATTTCAGAATTTTCATTTTGCAAGTATTTAAATTACGAAGATGCTCTTGCGAGAGATTATTAATGAAATTGATGTACTTGTGCAGATACAAGAACAAAAGACTTTAAAATCTCGAGGAACGTATTATTCTAATTTTTATGAGGAAAATTATTTTTATGATTCTAATTTTTTGGTCGTTTCCTTGAAACATTTATAATTTTATTTTATTTTATTTTATGGAAATATTGTAAAATATGCTAAAATTACAAAAATTATAATATTATACATTATATATAATATTTTTACCTAAATTTCACAATAAACAGCAAAAGTGAATTGTATTCTACATGATGAGTGTACTTGACATGAATGTTGAAGGGGTTAAGAAAGCCGCATGAAAAACTGAATTTTCAACTGTCGGGGCACGGTAGGGCGGAATCGATTAGTTTCTCATGCATAGATAATAAACTCCATCAGGAACGGTAGATGACTCAGCTCCCCATTTTATCCAACCGCTAGACGTTTCGCCATCCGAGAGTTTAACCGATTCTCGTGGATATTACGCAGAAGACAATTAAAACGTAAATGCGCGGGTGTGTCCGCTCGTAGGAGCTGTACCGCGAACAATCAGCGTAGTGGGGCAGTTCCTGAAGTGTGGAACGCGTTGTTCAAATGATTCTTGCCGTTCGACCCGTGAGCTGGCCACTTGTCGGCGGCACGCATCATCTGTGTTGCGCGCGTATGCACACGGAAATGCGTCGTCGTGGAAGGTCGGACGAATGGAGTTAATGCGATTCACTTCGGTGTTCGTCGCAGTTCCATGGCCTCGTTGAGACGGATGGCTAATTGCTGCCTTCGTTTCAACCGCTCGTGTTATCCAATCCTGTTTAATGCTAAAACTAGTGGGCAATTGGAGTGACTTATCTCCAGTTTTGTATAAAAATTAGAACAATAGGTTTTTTGAGATTCGAAGGATCTCCTAGTCTTTTATCTGTACACTGAAACAAATTTAAAATAAAATAAACATTCTGAAGTGGGTCTATTCGACTTGTTCAGTAGTTTTAGTGTTAATGATACCGGGAACCGGTTAAATAACTGGATTTAAAATTTTGCGTTTTCTTTCGTTCATTTAACTTAACATAGTAGGACTACGTAGGATTGAAATGAAGTAGGGCTACGTCGATCATCGCGAAAGTGTTAATCAGTTAACTACGTTCGATGAATGCATACATGATCTGAAAGCTTGAAATGATACTAATTTTTTCAATGATGGATTCTTAACTTTTTTAGATAAACATGTCATTCTTTGTTTTGCTTTGGTTTTTCATTAAAATATACCCTAGGTGCCATTCGTCCTGCGTTTGATATAGGCATTGATGTAAACACTTTCGCGACAGACGACGTAGTTTTATGTTATTTCGAATTCTTTAGCAGAATCACGCGAAACATAGTTCTACGTCATCTGAAATTCTTTAGAAGAATATAGTTTGTTAAAAAAAAGATTTTTTCTATATACATTTAAATGTTTCATTTTTGATAACTTTGAGCAACAAATAACTATAAATACCGTAGCGAGATGCAATATTTCTTACGTTCACATACCTACAAATAATGGAACCTTGTTGTATTCGGCTGAAGAGTTTTGGAAATTAATGTGCCCGTATTCAGCTAAACGTCTTGTCTGGCTATGGCCTGTCGCGAAAGTGTTAAGATGGCCCTTTAGATGGCACGATCTCATTTACATTGTTAAGTATCTATATTTTCAATTGTTTTTAATGGCATACCGAATTTTGCACAGATGTCTATTTAATTATTCTTTGTATATGTAATTTATTTTTATAAATATATTTTGTTTTGCTAGGTATGAATATTTATGATGTAATGGTACTTTTAAAAAAAGTGGGCCCTTTTTGTCCAACTTATCTTATACAGTAATGTACACAATGTAATGTATCTGATACACTTTTTTTTATCGAAATATATTTGATATTTACTAATCGAGTTTCTAATACGATAGTGAGAATGATATAAGAAAATATGAAAATGAAGCAAGCGTTCGTTCATTCAACGAGTTGGTTCAGCAGCTTTAAATAAAGGCACGTGATCACCAGTTTGATAGAACACAATCGAATTCACGTTCTTCGGATAGTTATCATAGGAAGCACGCTGATGTTTTGTTTGTCTGCACTGACCCGTCTCGTTGAACGCACTTTAGTATTGCAAAACGTGAATTAGTATGTACTTTGTGTTACTATAGAGATCACAGAAGAGATTGCAAAATAGTCTGGAAATACAATTATTATTCCAATGATGTATTTATAGATATTAAAGGACGGGTAACTAATAAAATATAATGACAGGTAAAGAAAAATAAAATTAATTAGAAAGTATTGCTAAATTTTAATCTAAATTTACCGTTGTTTAATTCTTATAGAGTTTACTTTGTAACAGTCAGATGTAGACTAAATTTTATTCCCCACTGTTTTTTGTTATTTTGCATTTTTAACTTAATCATATTCAGCTTTTTAAATGGATTATAAATATAATGCGCAGAAGAACTATGCTTGCGAAATTAGATTACGCTTGTAAATACAGTTTTTGGTAAATGGTAGGGACTATGGAAATGAGATAACTATTAATACTTCATCTACCGGAAGTCTGTAAATAGACTTCACAATGATTGAAATATGAAAAAAGGAATGTAATACCTGTTTTCTAAATATTATTCTCTAAAGCGATTACTAGACTATATTTTCCCAGACTACATGTAATACACTTTGAAACAACAACATAAAAATTATTAAACAATCAACTGTTTGTACAAACAATGAGAAAGTGGACACCAGGTGTTAGCGTAAAACTGAGAAAACTACTTTATTCATTTATTAACAACAGAACTACCAGATGACTCAAAGTGACCCATTCCTAATTTCTTCTTTTGCAATTATTAAAAAGATAACAGATGTTTCTCTGAGAATTGATTAAAGAAATTGATTTAACAATACGCATACTGAATTGTAAATCAATTGAAGTCTCGGTAGATACACTCGTGGAGTTTCTATAGACAAATTTCAAAAAGTCGATATAACTGCCCGGTAGTTTTAGTGTTAAAGCATTTTATACTATAATTGGGGGCTTGTCCAGGAGTTGACACTTCAATAATAAAGAAACTGTGTTCGATTTCGTTTCAGACTTGCTTTAACTCGCGGGGCTGCGGACTTCGCACTCCAGATGTGCACCGTCGTGAATCGTTGGGTTCCCTGGCAGGGTTCTGGTCTCGTTGCAACCCGAGTACAGGACTTCCGAGTCCTTGCGACTGCCGCCTTTCCACTGATCTCTATTCTTCGCGATATCGGGGCTCCTTGAGTTCGATTCCGTCGCCTGGATTAGAAGTGGTCAGTGGCCCAGCTCGAAGACACTCTTGGAGAGCAACAGCGGCATCCTTCGATACGTGGAGAGTTCCGGTCGCCACTTCCACCCCGAGACCAACTTGGTCCTCCATGCCTTCATCTCCGACGCATGTGCATCCTATGGCAACGTCCTCGAAGATTTCCAAAAGTGTCCCGAAACGAACGCGATCGAAGGTTACTTTCCAAGGTATTGTAGGAGAAAGAGAATTTTATTGGTGTATATATTATTTTAACCGCACAATTGTTTTTAAATAAATTATTCGTGCAACATATAATAACGCAATGATCCAAAATTAACCCCTTGCTTTATAACAACGTATCAGACTGGTAGTGAAGATGTTAAACAGAATTTAACAAATATAAATAATACTCAATTCTTGTGAATACAAATTAAGTTAAATTTTTCTGTTATTTATTATTCTAGTTTAAAGTAAACGTAGACATATAATATACCGAGAATTTTGGTCTATTTTCAATAAATTAGTAATAATAAAGTAGGTGTATCGATCATAGTTGAGAAGTAAATCGTGAGGCGAGGGGTTAATTCACACACGCAATATATATGTTTGGATAGTATATTCATCTCACTCGTACAATTTTTAGAATATTCTCTTCTTACCATGCATCAGCTTCGAGTATTTACATTTGGAATAATTTAGATTTAATAAATCAGTATTTTAGAAAATCAATGATCTAGAACATTCGTGTAGATCACGCTGTGTTCTGATCGCGATATTTACTTTTGAAATACCCTGTGCATACAAGTGGGAATCGAAAGGAAACTAAAAATAAGAATCGTGTTGATCCCAATTAAATCAATTTCAAAGCCAGTTATTCTCTATTAGCGTCTAGCACGGATCGACTCTTCGCCTTGAATCGAGTCGTGACCGTAGATTCGGATTTCTGTGTAACTTTATAGGTTACGGACAAGTAAGTAACTTGATCGTAACTAATCTGCATTGCGTAAATAGTTATATTATTGCAGTATTTCGTTTTAGATTTACATTAAGAATTTAAATATAAACAGTAAGGCTAGTACACTTTGTTTCATTCATGATCCTCTATAATAATTGTTTAATTGGGAATACGTGCATAATTTACAAACATCAATTGACGAGTATTATTATTGCAACATTAATATGACAAGCCAAAATTGGATTTACAAAATGGTTTTCAATTAAATTATCCGAAACAGAATTCTTCGTAAGTTAACTTTACTACTTCTTAACCTAACTAATTAATCGGAGCTTGACGTATCCGACGTCGTAAATTTATTACAAAATACTATATTATTCAAATGTTTGTTACATACATGCCTTTTGTATCTGGTATAGAATTCTTTTCCATTAGATTTTCAAATATCTATATTTTTTTAATCGTTTTTAGTCGTATATTGAATCTTGTACAAAAGGCTATTGAATTATTCTTCTTACACGTATTTACTTTCATAAACATATCTTCTTTCTATTAAGTATCAATGATGTTTATGAGATAACGCTTCTTTAAAAAAGTAGGCCACCTCTCCTCGACTTACCCTACACCTAAATACATCTTACATATCTTTTGTCTAAACCAAAATCTTTTACTAATCACCCCAAAGGTATAAGCAAGGGTAAATGAAAAGGAAAAATCAAGTTAATCGTTATAATAGTTGCAATTCAACATAATCTTCTTATTCTGTAATGATTTTTTTGTCTTTCTTAAGTGGACTTAAGCCACTTTCAAAATAAACGATTCATATATCGATTCATGAACATCGCATTCAATTCACAGAGACCTCGCTACAAGCATACCTCAGCTAAAGGGGTTAACAGCAAACGCTATAAATAATTGTTTTTACTAATCATATCGAAACCAAGGAAAACACAGTGTAAAACCATCGAATACGACTCGGCACAGGAGCATCGATGCATAAAATCGGTGTCGAGCCATACTCGACGAATGAGAGTGTAAAGGATTGAATATCGTTTTCTCTTGTGGAACCAGCAGGTGTTTCAATATCTACGGACAGGGTTGCATATTTCTCTGTAAAATGGAACGAGGGACGCGTTTGCTTTCAGAATGCCCAATGACGCGAGGCAGTTTGCCGAACTTACGCTCAGAGTTGGCGGGCGGTGATAACAGCGGCGATTCGACCGAATCGTTGATCGACGAGGCCGAGGATTATTTGCGACGAAGCATCGATTCGATGCTGACAGTTTCCAGCAGCGGCGTCAGTTCGGATTATTGGAACAAGCAAACGGCTAGACGGAGACGAGCGCGTCGCTACTCCGAGCCTGATCTCATCCGTGACTGGCATCCGCCCCAGGATGCCAGACCATACTTGCCAAAGGTAAATTTCATCAGTGTCTAGTTCAACTCGGCAAACTTGAACATTGGATTTACAGAACTCGCCGGTCCGACGGATTTTTTTTTCTTCTTTACCTTAACACTAAACGTACCGACACTTTCTGTATACCTATTTCTACCCTAACCAATCAAATAACTGATTATAAAATAAGGGTAAATAAGTTAGACGATAAATGTCTCTTATTGAAATCAGAAACAAGAGGAAAGACATAACTTGAAAAACTGATTAATTGTACAATACAGGAATTAGTATGAAGTTAAACGAACGAAGAAAAATACAGAATTTTCAATCAAATATTAAAAATGACCGTTTGACCGGGCGCGGTACATTTAGTATTTACACATTATTGACTGGTCACGAGTTAACTTGTGTTTGCACCTGTGTTAACCACTTCAATTTTTGAAATGCAGGGCAATATAGAAGACTGCAAAAGCAAAATATTCAAGGTTATACAAAAGATATATCCAAAGATTTATTTCAATTTATTATGTAGAAATAAAGTATATTGAAGTTTATTTATATTTTTTCACTTTCATATTTAATTACGGAATAATAACCGGTGACATGGGATTGCTTTTGCGTAAAATTGCCGGTCAAGAATGTGTTAACACATATCCGGTATTCTTTTTCGTCGGCAAGTGGATCAAAGTCTGGCGTTTTTGCACGTACACTCGTCCCTCAACTTACACAAAGTATCCGTTCAACGTGGATTCGTTTTACGCGAATGAAAATCGCATACTGTCTGTTGGTATAAAAGAAAACACATTGGAAATAAAAGCTGGTGCATGTAAATTTTAGAAATACATATTTATTTCAAACAGCTTAACAAAAAGAATAATAACCTAAAACATGCCGATTTCCTTTGCTCCTGCGCACTTTCAGCGTGGAACTTTCAAGAAAATTAACACATTACGTATCGAGAATGGAAAATCTTGTCTTTATACAAGTACTTACTGATGACGCTTTACTAATTACCACATAATTATAAAAATACAAAATTTTTTCAGAACCGATTATTTGTTTAAAATATATTAAATAACAATAAGATATCGTATTTTACTACGTTTAGTAATGTAAGTTAATCTGATTGAAAATTACCAACCACACAGCCCAGATTTCTCAGTTTTCATTTCTAAAGTAGTTTCTGGATTAGGTTAACTAATTTATCCTCATAAAAAAGAGATTCGCGTGAAAAAAGTGCCGAGTAAATTGAGGGATGGGTGTACTTCGCTTTTGCATTCGGCTTTACGAAAGCGACCGGATTTTTAGGGATTGTGTTTATTTCATGTTATTTAATTAACAAAATTAAAGTTTTAACAATTTAAATCATATAGATAAAAATATCGTGAGAAATAGTTTTTATTATACAATATAATAGAAAGAATATTATATAATTTTAATTTTCTTGAAATTTCGTTCTTTAATAAAAACAACTTCCTCTAGTAAATGTTTCATTTTGGTTTATACAGATTTGAAAATAGACAAGAGTTACTTATTTATTACAATTGCTTATTATAAAACCAGAATGACGAGTTCTTTCCATCCACCTGGATGTATATTAAAATTACGGAAGCCATAAATATTACCTTACAGTAATTTACGTTGGTTTGATCTGATAATGCGAATATATAGTGTAACGCAATTTATTTTCCTCACCTGATCTAATTTCGAATATTTGTGCACAATACACACTTGTGTCTCCGGAATCAGTATAATAAACTATACAATTAATGTTTGTTAATCCAATGTTAAGCGAACCGTGAAAGATTAAGTTGTTATTAGTTTTCCACTAAGACAGGATTATTTTCGAAACTCTCCGAGAAATATTCGTGTTTGATCGTTGGTTACCGGATGCTTTAGCAAATCGAAAGTGGGTCAAAATGACGGACACGTATTTGTAAATACTCTGCAGCGAGACTGTAAAACACCTACGATTCTAGTGAACGTCGTGATATTGACACATTGCTTTGTAGAATTGCCAAAGTACTTTAAGACACTTCGGAAAGGACATTTACCCTGTTTGTAATGTCTCTGCTGATTTCTACATAATGTAAAAATTTTATAGAATTCTAAATTTTATAAGGGAAGGTACTGTAACAAAATTATAAAACAGTTGTTAACATTAGAACTACCACATCCGTCGAAATGGCTGTTTTCAGTTTTCTCATTTCGCAATTACTGATATCTTAAAAGTGCAAAATGTTCGAAATGATTTGAAAAATAAATAGTTTCACTTGAATACTATAATACACACATGAAGAAACCGATAAACATCTATTATTATCATTTTTATAAGGATTACATATTAATCATATTTATCGCTCGGTAGTCCTAGTGTTAACTGTTGATAAAACCTGCTATTACTATACCATACAGCTCATAAATAGTATGTATATTTTATATACTGTAATGTATTTAGGAAAACAATTTATAAAAAGAGATCAATTTAAAGATGCGTATGATGGACATTGCTCGGTTCTTAAGGGTTAAGAAGTTATTTATAATCAGTCACGATTACAAAATTTATTCTGTCTATTTTTAAATTGATACATTGCTTCTGTGAAACTAATTAAAAGAAAATATATGTTACCATATTTGGCCAGCTATCAAGAGAAAGAGAGAGCTTTACGAAATCTTGAATATTTTCTCTCTCCGTTGAGTACAAGCGATATACGAATAACTGAGAAGTACTGGCGTTTTAAAGCTAGTAAACTGTTAAAATAATTATGCTACAAAGTCAGTTTCAAGAAACAATGAAAATAGTGATGGTTACCTAACAAGGTGAAATCCTGCTCATCTAATACGACACTACTCTACTTAACCTCTTGCCCTGCAATATTATGTCGGAATCGTAGCAAAGATTTCAAATATAATGTAATAAATATAAATATTATTTGATTCTTTCAAGTTCAAATTAAATGTTATTTTTCTGTTATTAATTATAATACTTTAGAGTAAGTGTGGACATAGAATGAGTATGTAATCTTTTTCATTTTTTAACGCATTATAAATAGTGAAATAGTTTTGTCGGGCACAGTTGTGAAATAAATCATAGTGCAACGGGTTAAAAAAAGTCTAAATATACAAGAAAAATGTGTCGTATACACAAGAGCTAGAGTTTTCTGGGAAAGGTATGCCATTTTAGAAAAGGTAGTTTTTAATTTGATTCTTACAATAAATCGCAAGAGAAATCAAATAGTTAATATTATAATTGTCCACACCAAAATGTTTCTAATTGGTGGTCAGTTTAACACGAAGTTTACTGACGATATTCATGTTGTAGATATAAAATATTATTAGGTATAGTTAGAATTCATGGAAAATTAAGAGAGACTTATTCTACCAGAAATAACAATAAAAAAAACTTTTTCACAGCATAATTAATGTACCTGGTTAACTAGTACTTACTTCTACTTCCAGGAAAATAATTAAAAAAATTATACAATTATATATCAAACAGAAGTTTCAGTTAATACACTAGATTTTGCAGTACTTCATTTTAACAGCTCCCTTTAAAATCATTTTAAAATTGATTTCACACTTTATTATAGCTTGACGCCTTTTACATAATCGATTACATTTGTTTTCTTTGGAAATCGATACACAAATCGTTCATGGTCAACTCATGTCAACTTTATACCGAATAATCAGTATATCCAATGTATCAATTTTCTTCTATACTCAATTATCCTAACTCTTAATTGACATGCTTTGTTATAACAGTTTTATTTATTTTTTATGTTTTATTTTTATTTACCTAAGTATAAGTTTCTGCTTTGTTTCAGTTTTGCATCAGTTAGCCCTATAATGCGCGGTGATGCACATATGCACTGTTTTCGTTTTTTACTAACATTTTCGTATTATAAGTCTTCACGATAAAATCGCACACTGTTTTATGTACAAATCATTTGTTTATATTAAATATAAACAATACAAATACAGCATCATTTTCTAATCTACTTTACCGTTTATTGTGATGCAGTGTTAATTTTCATTTTACATTTTTGCTTTATTTCGAAGTCTGTAACTTCTGTTAGTTTATATCAAGCGAGGTAGGTAGTATATTTTTTGTTCAATTTTTTTAATAATGAAATTATTAAAAAACATATCATAAAAGTTAATATGTCTTCCACATTAATACACAATGATGTATACAATGATGTAAATAAATGATAAAAAATACGAAGAAATGAAGAAAATTTTTTTTATTATTTTTCCTTTTGTTTCCAATGTATTTTACCGTAGGAATTTTTTATTATTGCGAATTAATAAGTGACGCATTGTAGGGGTAAATAATGTTTTCCATTTTATACTAATTATCAAATTTGTATGTATAAATTCCATATTCAGTGAAATTACGTTGTACTGTGAATAATATTAAATGCTAAAAATATGTAAATTACTAACATGATTTACAAATTCTTTGAAAATGTATTTAATATTAAATCTTTGATATGGATTTTTCGATACTCAGAATCCTTCGACATTTCAAATTACGTATTTATAAATGATTTTACAATACTTTTTTTATTTTGTACAACTTTGACAGTAGATATTAATTTTGTTCAATATTATCTTTAACTTTATATTTCTTAGCTCCTGTCTGTTTTTTAATAAAATTATTTTTTATTATCCTTCTGAACTTTATTGTTTGCATACTTGTTCACTGTAGAACAAATTTTTACAAAATTGTAAACTTTATTTTATTTCTATTTTTAAAAGTTTTCTAAGCATATTTATAACTGACACTTTATTGAATATCTACCTAAAAAGTAACATGTTTAAACTTTCAGCTGTTGTTCTATTGATAGGTAGTAGATATTGTTATAAACAGAGTCAATAATCTCCACAAGTTTTATTAGATTTTCTTAATTAAATCATTTTACTTGGTCATGTTCGAAAGAATGCTGATAATATGTATCATACTACTGATCAGTAAACAATTTTCAAAATCGTCTAACGTGAAACACATTTTTCGGTCTAAAATTGTTAAAATTAAAAAATTATTTGAACAATTCCTGAATAACACAGCATTTCTACGACACAGTTTTGTTCTAACATGATTAAAGAAATGGAGAAACAATCGATATTTCAACTGAAAAACAAGTGTAAGAAATGACTTCATGAAAATGTATCGTTTTATACAACAAAATATACAGAGTGTTAGAGAAAAGGTTTCGAATTTAAAATTTAAAATTAATTTATAATATTTGACAAACATTAATATTTTTGACAAAAACATATCTTATAGTTATAGAAGTAAAATAATGTAAATCTTTATATTAGTGTTTAGGTTCTTGTATTATGAATTTGCATAATATGATAACCTTTAGAGACATTGTCACCATTTTACACAAAGGTTACCTGTATTAAAATAACTGTACAAACAATTAACCGCTTTCTCAAGATTTGCACCAGAGAATGTATGCAAATTGATAAATTTTGTAAATGTGCCTGCCACTATTAATATCTGCCTTAGAAGAAGTTTTCGTTATTGATCCTATGTGATCGATATGTATTGTTTCAAACTGTATCTCTCCTTGTGATACACTACATATGCAAGAAACCCCCAATTTCTGCAGACAAAGATGACTGCTGCATTTTAAAGAATCTTTAACACGTTGGTTAACATAATTATTTATCCAGACAGATATTAATTTTTATGCTAACATACCGAATAAATACTATGAATTTTTCTGATACAAAAAATAAGACTACATTTTCATACAACTTGGATTCTTTTAATTTTACTCATAAGTAACTATTTACTTTATCGTAACTATAGCTGTAAAGTTCTGTAGTTCAGCCAGGAATTCTATCATCAATTCTTTTCTTATTTATTTATTAGTGTAATTATATAATGATCTATTGTAATCTTAAACTTCAATCTCTGAATAAATTCTGGTTGGAGCACTTAAATGGGAACACTTAACTTTAGCTTACTTTTCATTTTGTGAGCTGTACATACTTTTCAAATTCCATTAAAATTATTCATTAATAATTATAACGCTAAAGAAGCCATACAATATGCAGAATATCAATCAAAAGATATTTATATCTTTTTCTATAAAAAAATGCTACCGAAACCATATTTTTCGATTAAAGAAATGAGATTCTACCATTATTTGAAAATTTAATAAATTTACAGATTCATGACGCTCGTTTCCAATAGAATCGACAAATCTTTCTACACTGGTTGAACGCTGCTTTGCCCGATACTTCTTAAAGCCTTGTTTTTGCTTTAGTTGTGTATATACATATGTGTATCCTGTGACCCAGATCGTCACAATTGAAACCGTTCGACAGTTTTCAGCTTCGACGATTCTTTCGATTACCGTTTTTCAGTTCTTGGTTCCCAGCACTATTGTTCTTATTTGTTATTTTTAATTTTCATTGTATAGATTTCACTTCTGAAAATTATAAGGCAAAATAGAAATGACTATTTACTGCTCAATGTACCAGTTAAAATCTATTTCACTTGTATCGTATAATGTCCTTTACATAACTGTTTACATTTGTTTTCTTTCAATATCAATAGTTCGTGTCTAACTTTCAACCATTATACGCTTGACAATCAATATACTTAATATATCAATTTCCTTGTACAATGCAAACAATGAAAAAAACTTATACTTTCCAGTGATAAACGTTTCAACACAAGTGAATTTCATTACCATTTCCATGATTCGAGAAAAGAAAAATTTATAAAAAGTACATATAGATTTAATGATGTTCTGTAAAACCAGATTTAATAATTACAAATTAATATTAAAATAAACGTATCGCACTGTGCATCAATTAATTAGTATAGAAGATTAGTGATAAAAGTTTCATATCTTTATGAAAAATACCAGATCGTGAACTCGGTCTGTTAATTTTTTACTTTAAAATATTTATTCACAGGGTACTGTTACAATTTTTCTTTTCCACTCTGAAAAATACAGCTTCCTTGAAAGGAAAGTAATTAAAAATGTCGAAATTCTAGAATAATATGTTGGAAAATATCTTTAAATCATTTTGACGTTATCAAGGGATGTGTTTTTCATACATTTTTTAATTACTTTAATATTGGTTTCCATGGACTCTGCATTCAAGGGATCGCACATTGAGTTAGGTGACTGTCTCTCAATAGGACATGTTATTGTTATATTTGTGAAGATGATGTTAATTGGCATGAATTATGTAAGTAGGTATCTCGAAAGACAGACAATAGAATTTAATGAAATTAATAAAATTTTATAAAGGCTAATACTATCATATATTACTAATATAATACTATAATATAGTATTATAATATAATAATATATTACTATAAACAGTTAGCTGAAAAAAACTACTTTGAATATACTAATCGTGAAACATGGTACATGCCATTTGAGATTACTTAACCAGTTAATTGCTATTCACGTGTATTCGTCATTCCTTGATTTTATTTACGCACCCAACGGAAGATTTTTTGAAACTAAATTTTGCAGTTAACAGGTTAAAACAAATTCTTTTTCTTGAAAAGGAAATACACGATATTGTATGACAAGAGGTTAAAGGGAACCAAGTCAAATAAGTGGTTATAAAATAAAGGTAAACAAATTAAACGACAAATTCTTTGCAGTGAAAATAGAAACAAAAGGAAGGACAAAAATTTTTTAAATAATTAATCGGACAATATAAGAACTAATATAAAGTTACATGGACAGGAGAAAATGCAAAATTTTTAATGAAACTTGAAAGCCGGTCGTTTGACCGGTCGCAGTACGTTTAATGTTAAAATATGATTGACTAGTTACAATTTGTATGCGTAATTTTTCCAGATACCAAGAGATCTCAAGTTGGATCATCTCGTAAAGGTTATATCGCCTGAAGGAAGGGTCCTGCAAGGACGAGTCAGGTATGTGGGACCTGTACCTGGACGTGAGGAGGCGCACGTTGGCGTAGAATTACCTTACATGAATGGTACTTCCGATGGCTCTTTCCATGGCAGAAGATTCTTCGATTGGTATGTTTTACTAATGCATTTTGAAGATCTATCGAGTATCAGTATCAGTTTGTGTTTCAACCTTCGATAATGTACATTAACGAATCATTCTTTATTGTGTTTTATTTTGTTTTTCGAAACATGTACGTATATCCATATTTTACCAAATCGAGTAACGTTTTTTTTATTAGAAAACTATAGTTAATTTTGTGATTGAATGTATTTTAATAGTAAACATGATACTTTATATTCTCATTAGATTTTAATCAATATTGAAATTTCATTTAAGTTTTGTAAAGTTGGTAAAGATAGTAATTGTGCTGTAATTATAATAAATCTTAACCATAAAACAAAACGGGAAAATAGAACAGTACATCACTTTCAAAATTGGAATACAAAATATTAATTTCATTCTCTAATGTGGAAAACGTTCCACATACATTTTGTTTCTGAAATAGTTTCATTAGCTTAAAATGAAAGCCTAACAACGTATTGTTACATATGTGCAAACACACCCTCACTTATTTATTTTTCATACATGGAACAATACAAATTTGCATGTTTGACCTATTTTTGTGTAAGGAATCACCTCGTTACCATTTTTTACCGCTATTATGCACGCTGTGTAATAATAAGCAAGCAGTATAAAAATATACATACCTGCATATTTCATCCTTGAGAATCGAACTTGCGACCTCAAGCACATTAATAACATCTTCAATTTCAATTCTGCAACGGTAATTTCGATGCTTTCCCTTCAGATTCATGATATTTCATCGAGGGTACCTATCCGTTAAGTTCGTAACGATGTTTAAACTCATTCCAGACCAATTACGCATCAGGCGTGTGTAATAGAGTACCTACTCAAAAAGATCAATCACACACCGTCTCTGTAATTATCATGATTTTCTATTATTAGTTAGCAGTGAAAAACTTTTATGTAAAATACATACGAATAAATTCCTTTTCAATTTTACAAAAAAACTTCTGAACAGATTTTTGTCAATTTTCAAAAGAATCTAAAGATCCAAGTATAGATTATCAATGTTCAAGAGAATCAATTAATAGATTGTCAATTTTTAAGCGAATCAGTTAATAGATTATCAATTTTTAAGATAAATAATTAATAGACTATCAATTTAAGAGAATGAAATTAGAAAAGTATATCGAATGATACGAAAGTTATTTTAACCAGATGTAGAACAATATTAATTAAAAATATTTTCTTTTAAAATTATATTTTAAATACATTCCATGTGCACCAGCCAAAATTAACTCTTTATAATCTTTCAACGTTATCACGAAAGCTGGAAAGAACGTTTAGAAGATTTATTTCTGATGGGACACCCTGTGCATTGCCTGTCGCATGAAATATCGCGCAAACAGCAGCTTGAAATGCTGTCATCGTCTCACATAGCGTTATTCACTGTATCTTTGCATGACTGGTAAATCCTGTCATTATAAACTCGTCTTCTGCGCGTGTTAAGCCGAAGACATCCGTGAAATCGAGCTTCTCTGTTTCGCCACAACAATAACAAGACATATTATCGAACGAATGCTGGTCGCGTTTTCCCAGTTAACAGTTCTCATTAACACAATGCAAGCGTTGCGACTCTGCATTATGACTGCAGTGAAAATAATGGCAGTAGAGTGGAACATACAGAGTGTCTCGCGTAATTGTTGCCGCAATTTTTCAAGCACTCTCCATATTGTAAAGAAAAAATGTTTTCAACAAAAGTTAATTAGCCTTAAATTAACTATAAATTGCAGGATAACATCAATTGCACTTAATTATAGTGATCTTGAACTATAAAAATGATATAATTTGATTCAATTGACAGAAAAAATTGATCCCAATTAAATAATTTCATGTGATAGTGTTCTTTTGATCGAGTTAAAATTTCAAAGTTCAAGGTCACTTTAAGGTTATAGTATTATAGGTTACCAAATTCATCTTGAGCGTACAAGATTTTTTTATTAAACATTTTAAATAACATTCTAAATTCTAAAATATAGGGGGCAATTAGAAAAACCAAGGTGACCTTGATTTTCTTAATGGAAAAATACTTTGGAAATTTTTTGTAGTTTATACTCTATTTAAGGCTAATTATCGGGTGTGTCTAAAAAATCGTGGTGAGCTACTCGGAACACTTTGTAGGTCTATATCCTGTGGAGTCGCTCTTTAAATTCGCGAAGCTTTGAAACAATTGAAATTTTTTGGCTACCGAACATTTTTTATAAGATCGTACAAGGTGATATATGTCGAGAGATATTGATTGATACGATACTCGAATACTCAAGTATCCAGACAGATTGTTCATGGATTTACTAATCAGCGATTTTCTCGTAAACGATAGACACGAGGAAAAAGTGAAAGAGGGGAAAGTGGTACTGTCTTTTGTAAGCAATATAACGATGCGTGTAAATCTGTTGTATTTGCATTATTTTCCGACATTTTTATATTTTTTATATCACGTGGAACGTGTATAGTCTATAACTTTCTATAATTCATAATCAGTTTCTTCACTCCTGTCATTCTAAAAGCCTTTACAACTTGAAATATAAAGACTTTATAACTCAAATTATTTGCTTTGTGTTTAGTACAGTCAGCTACATAAGTAATCATCTATCTACCAAACTTCTTATATACATATATATATATATATATATATATATATATATATAGGAAAAAGTAGAAAATGATATACCCAGATGTCAGATTCGAAAGTCACAAGTGTTGACTTTTGTTAATTACATCCCCGAACTTCTTGGTTACACCTTGTGTTATCAAATGTGGAAAATTATTTCAGTGTTTCATTATTTTACAATTTATTAACATTCTACGCGTGCAATTTTCCTGGTCATTATCATCTGAGTGTATATATGTGCGCATTCACATAAGGCGATATAGAAGTTTGGTAATGTGTGTGCATTTTTCATTCTGTCGTATGATGCAAATGAACTGAATATATTAACCCCTTGCCCAATGATTTACTTTTCAATTATGAATGATACAACTACTTAGCCATTAATAATTTATTGAAGAAAGAGGAAAATTCTAGGCATATTCTACGTTTATGTTTGCTGTAAAGTATAATTATTGATAACAGATAATAATGTTTAATTTGAATTCAAGAAAGTTCAGTAATATTTGTGTCTGTTACATTCTCTTTAAAATCTTTTCCACGAGTCTGACACGTTGTTATAATGCAAGGGGTTAAGAAGAAGTACTGGTAAGCATATTAATACGAAATATTGAAAACATTTATTTCGTTCTTGACCTTCTGTGAGTCTCGAAGAAAAAACAAAATGTAATACGATATTGAATTGACTATCTGACTACATATAAACATATGTAAAAATGATCCGGCATCATCTGTACGAAGGTTAAGATAGATGAGGAGCGGAATAAATTGCAAACAAATAAATATGATATTATCTAACAATTTACGTTGCGATTGCAATTGAATATATTATTACCGTGTGAGCAAACTTATTGTTAGTGTATGTAATATCTGATTTAATATTATATTTCTGGCTCGTGTTTTATTAATTCTGTTTCATCATGAAAAGAAGTAGACTCTTTTTACAAGAAAGCATACAGAATAATATAAAGCAGTTCTTACAAAAATACTTGAAACGTATTTTTTTATAGCGCTGCAAGAATGATTTTTTACCAAAGATTTCGTTAGTCTTTGTTTAAATATTCTTCAACTGACAACTTTTTGATCGAAAGTAATAAAGTGTTAGTTGAATAATATTTGAAGTTGCAAAATGATTTATAAGTTATAATTTATTGTATAAAAAGTATATAAGAAATATATTTATATAATCATTGAAAGTTTATTCTTAAATGCTCAAAATATTAAAACACTTTTCATCATAAACCAGAAAATAAAAGAAAATATGTTGCCTGTTATTGTTAAATATTTTTAAAACAGAAAGGTTGAAGCAAATAAAACAGTATTTGACTATGTAACTCAATAAAACAGTATTTAATAAAGTAATCATTAGCGGAATTCTAGGAAAGTTGGAATCCCTGAGGTTTTAACGTTAACACATCAACAGTCCCACGACAGTTTCATAATTATGATTACGTTAGATAAAAGGATAATAAGTCACACTTATTGTTAGTTTGATATACTATATATTAGGAATACAATTACCTTGGAGTCCAATTCGAAACTAGTAGATCAATGGTGTGTACAGAACATTTGTTTCATCAACATAAGGAATCTTGTAATTTTAGAACAACATAATGAATCAGTGATTTCAGTTATTTGATATTCTTAATATTACGAGTAAAAAGTAAAGTAAATTCCTTTACCCATACAATTTTATAGCGTACTTATGAGTAAAGGAATTTACTTATCAATTTCTCACAAAAAAGTGTCTGGTCATTATTCGAAACATCGGCCTTACATGTGTATCTGACAAAGTAACTATTATAATTCATTGTGAAAAAAAATTAGTATCATTTCGAGTTTCAAGATGACCTGTATATTCGTCGAACGCAGTTGAGTGGTTAAAATCGAAATGGAATTCCGAGTATTCGACTCGGCGAAACGCACTGTCTCTGTTTACGGACTCGTGTTTGCTGCATCTTAGCGGTGTTATTTCTTTCGCGGCGTCACGGGATCATCTTCGTCGAGTTCTCAATTAAATCGACGCCACTAACTGAAGGAAGGAGGCTTTTCCGAATCCGGCCGACGTATTTAATTTCGTAATTGCCTCGCGTTTTCGAGGTAATAGGCCGCGGTACAAGCTGCGTGACAAAAGCAATTCCGCCCCGTGATAAACTCTCGTCTCGAAACTCGCGCATGCACCTGCGTGCATGTGTACGGTGCACGGTGCACGGTGCACGTGTAAGTACAATATGCACCGTACAGCGCGCCGGCTCGAATGTGGGGCTGCCTTTCGTGGAAGAATGCAAAGTTCCCTGCGAACTCCGCTCGATAACTTTGTGTTACTTTCAACGGCCACTGTTTTACAATGTAAAGTACGCTTGCTAATTTATTCTC